CTCGAGTCAAGTACTTCGTGGTTAAAAATAAACGAGTTGTCATGACTTAATTTGTTTAACAATCAAACAAAATATGAACTCGAGTTTGGATCATTTAAACTCGATTCGACTTATTTAATAACTTTTAAATCTATACCAAAATCTAAAATTTTAAGTGAGTCAATCGCGAACACGTTCAACACGACTTGTTTGATAGAAAAACTCAATTAGTTGTATAATTTTAGCTTGTTTAAATATACAAGTGAGTCAAGTTCGACCTGTCACAAGTCGAATTGAATAATGTTAGCGGACAATTCGGTTTGATCAATTGGTGGCTACTGGCTCAATCAACTGGTCATATCATTTTTGGAAGGTATTGAAGGGCATTTACCAATACCAATGTCGATATGAAAAAATCAAGAGTTATCATAATGTTGAAAGCATGACAGGTCGGGGATTTTCTAAATTTCCCGACACTCAAGTTCTTCTTCACCTACATTGCTTTGTAGTTTGAATTTTACAAATCTATTACAAGCTTTAGCTATTAGGTGCTCTAATAAATTGAATTTTGGGATCAATAATTTTTTTAAAAACACGCTCGCTTTTATTGGTTCATTGCATCTCCATATTTAGAAAATAATATGTGTGCCTAACCTAATTGCTTTGCATCAATAGTGGCGACCATTGTAGCCTTCTACTTCTAGGTAATGGATGTCAAACAAAAATCATCCACGTGATTAATANTATGCTTATTATTTAAATTAGCCGGATTTTTTTTTTTTAAATCAAAATCTAAATAAACTACTTCGAAATACCAAAAAGTGCCGCATTGAATTGTGAGGCACCAGAATTCAGCAAATAAAACTATGAAGCACCCTAAGTTGATATCTATGATTCGTACATTTCTCACATTTTTTACTTAAATATTTATACTATAATTATTATTTTTTCATTTTATTTTTAAACTTAAATTATATATCTCTATTTCTTTGAACAACCTTTAATATATTATATTAATATTCTTTCAAATAAATTTATTTCACACCAATATTTTAAATTAAATATTTTGTCAATATATAAAATAATTTAATGTTTATCTATTAATATCAGCTTTAAAATAATAAATTTCTAAATGGTTTTCATAATACAAATTACAGATATATATTAAGAAAATATAAATTGAACTATTTTAATTATGTGCCTCCCTGACTGGGCCTGATAAAAAGGTACCTCGCCCCGCCAAAAGATATATTTTGACAACTCTAGTTCAAATCTGCATCTACACCAATTCTAATAAGAGGCATTTCTCTGCACATGGATGGCTGTCATGACTCATGTGTTAGAAAATTTGGATATTGCAAAGCTTTAAAGTTTTGTAAAAATTTGTATTAAATACACTAAAATTCTTAAAATCTGAAATGTTTTTCTTAAAAATTTCAAACGAATACACCTTACAAGTTTATTCGGGCTCAGGGTCACAATGGACAATTACTTATAGGTAGTAAACTGTATCAAGTGACCGTTGATAACAAATTATATTATATTATTGTATTAATATAAATTGATTGTATAAAAATATTTGATAAATAATTAATAGGGATTATTGATATAAATTGTACATTTTATTTATAATAGATCTACAATAATAATAATATATATATATATATAAACAGAGCCGGTCCCAACTATTCTTAGGCCCTGGGCCAAATTTAGAATAATTTTTTTTTTATACTGAGGTTCTATCCATTATTGTTTATTGTAAAACAAAATGATGGAATTTATATAATCTCACATTTATCCAACAATTTTTTTCCTATAAAATGAGGAAAATTATATCATTTGAAATAAAAAGTATAGACTCTCAAAAGGAAACAATTTGGCAGAATTGATTTTGGAGGTTTTTTTTCTTAAAAAAAAGAAAAGGGAGGAGAGCGCAAACCCGCAAGTCAAAGGAAAAAGGCGATGTGAATTCCCGAAATTTTTCTCATCCTCCAATGTGTCCTAAGTGGTGTTTTTTCTTATATTTTAATAGCCCATTACATTAATTTTATACAGCCCTATAGTAACTTATTGGGCCTTAGACATATACATATATGTTATAGAGCCCTATAGTAATTTATTGGGCCTTTACTGTATACATAGATGTCATATAACTGCATCTTGGTGCCCCTTCCTTCAGTTGGGCCCTGTACCGTCGCCCAAGTCGCCCTGGGCCTGGGCCGGGTCTGTATATAAATAAAATAATGTAATAACCAGGTTAAACCGAATTGACCCGGTCTGTTCAATGTCCACTAGGTCCACAGTTAATGTGTCCCAATGACCCATCTAGACCAATCTCGGCTCCAAATTGGCTGGGTCTTGAACTCTTGGGTTACCCGCGGAGCTGGTTCGGGCAGAATAAACTATGGGTGAAATGAGAGCTAAACTGAAAGAGGTTCAAAATAAAAACTGGTCTTGGTGTGAGAACCGTGAGAACCGTATTTGATGTTATTTTTTATCGTGTATGATGCTATTTTTAATATCACATGGTGCTATCATTTTCACAAATGCTAATAAAAATTGTGTGGCTATTTTTAAGAAAATAGATCCATGTTAAAAATAGTACTAAAACACAATCAATTATAGCACTACGTACAACTATAAATAGCGGTTCTCACAGTTCTCACCCTAGGACTTGGTTCTCATTTGAACCACATCTTATATATATATATATATATATATA